TTTATATGTATCACTACACTAACCTTAGTTGTCTTTAATAATGATAGCTCTTGGATTTTTTGCTTCATTTTATTTAGTTCCTACATGGCAATAACAAATGAAGTGCATGATTAACCCAGCAATAAGCTTACAAAACACCAATAAAGCTATTGTACATTGAAATATTAATCCCTCTATATACAGTGGCGTAGCTAGAATAAATGAAGAAAGAGGGCACAGTGGGGGCACTGACTAAAGCAATGCTAAAAAATACTCAATATAGTAAGCTCAGTTGAGTCAGTTGTAACTTGTATCTTTCATTCTCCTGCCTAGTTGCAGGGGCACAAGAAGCAGTTATGAGGGCACTTGCCCCCACAGGCCCCTATGTAGCTACACCACTGTCTATATATATTAACAGGTACATATGCATACCTTTTCTTTTTCACTAAGCATGTTTCTTAGTTGCTGTGCTGTTTCTTTAAGTTCCTTCTGTCTCTAATGATTATAATAATAACAAAATAATCAAACACAAATTATTATACCCTTGTATCATTATGAGGCTGTTCCTTAACTTCCTTTATCTCCAGTACCTCAACTTTCTTTACAATAAAGCATATAATGATAATTAATTTATACAGTACTATACACAATTACACATACTTGTTTCTTCCATATTGTGCAGTATCCAACAGTAAGCTTCATTAGACCATTCTTTATTAATAATTCAAGATTCTCATTCAATTTTATCATGAGAGCTCCAGTGAGAGAGTAAGGGAAAGAGCAAGTGACCACAATGGAGTATCCAGTATCAATATACTTTATCTTCACAATTTTACCAGATGTCTTAGAAAGAATATCGGTAATATCTTTCAATTTCTTCTCATCAGGTCTCCAGTCAAAGACATATGTTGCTGATTCACATTTAAGAGAAGGACTTGTATTGACAGCATCAAACTTCTCTTTCAAGCAAAGATCAATTGACATTGTGTCACAGAACTCTTTCAGTGTTGTCCTGTAGCACTCAATGTATCTTTCAGCTTCTGTGATTCCAAATTCTTCAACTACAGCTTCTAATAAACTAATATCAGTTAACGAACACTCTCCTTTAATCACATCTATTACACTAGATATATCACAACAATTATCCAACTTTAATTTTAGATCGGAGTTGCATGAGAGAATTAGCAATTTCATATCGTCTAATGATAAAGGGACCTTTAATATAGCATTGTGTACGTTATATAGCATCCTTCCAAGTGAAGTTCTCATTGAATTGAACTCTCCTGATTTACTCTTTAGAATAGGAATTTCAACTACATGTATGCAATGCATGTCATTAACTCTTTATAATGAACGATGCTGAATATACCTGTTAGTGCAGTTGGTGTGTGAGGTGATGATTGTGATGGTGTGATGGTTCCAGTACTTGATGTATCTAAAATAAAAATACAAGTAATACAAAAATATTAATAACTTACCTTCTCTGATTTGAACATTAATTAATTTATCATTAGAAAAGTGTTCATCTAAAAAATAAAAATAAAAAAATAACAATGATTAATTATAAACTCACCATACTCTTTTTGTATAACTGTTCCTAGTTCTGCATTACCAGTGAACTTGCACAACACACTAGCAAATGTTTGTAGTAAACTATACTTGCTTTGAATAGCTACTATAATGGCAGCTAACAGGACTTCACGTTGACTAGGAACAGAGGGACTAGCTGATTCCACACTAGCCAATACTTGTCTCTGTTATGACACCCTCTCTTTGGAGCATAATAGCTATGTTGACAGGATCAGAGAGAGACTGAGAGAGGAATGGATGATGAGTGTTGAATATATCAAGAGCCCTAGCTTTACATACTATATAGAATATATATACACACACACAGTCAATACTAATACAATCAGTGATATCAACTTACTCTCTTGATCTAACTTGTCAGCTCCAGCATTCTCATTCATAGATTTAAGAGCATCTGACAGTGAGTCAAAGGTAGCTCCTCCTTTACTGTCAACATTATCAGCTCTACGCAACCATCTGGCAATGCATTCAATGAAACAGTCTTCTACTTTTGAGTAGTTTCCTGCAACAGCGTCCAGTGAGTCCATGAGTAGTCCTAATGTCAGTCCTAGTTCCTTCCATCTCCACTGAGGAAAACCACATCTCTTCAGCAGATTAACAACATCAATCAGTTGATCTAGATAAGACATTTATTACAATATAAGTTTAAATCTAGACCATTTTACCTATAGTCAAAGGAGAACAAAAGAAAGGTGAAGAAATAGGAGAGGAATAGCTTCTTGCTCTTCTGCTCTGCGACGTTGCCATTAAGGTCCTAGGGCGTAACTAGTACTTCTTTTCCCGCCAGACCCGCCCCTTATTCTTGGGGGCCGAGGCCAGACTTCAAAAATTGAGTTTGCCCCCAATGCCCCGCGAGGCTTTCCATTGCAAAACCAATTTTTGCAAAACCAATTTTTGCAAAACCAATTTTTGCAAAACAGGTGTAGTACAGGTGCAGGCTCCTGGTTTTAGTTAATAATTAATAGGAGTGGTCAAATTTACAGAAATTTGAATTTGATTTTGAGGGAATTCTTATGTAAAAATCTAGGGAAATTTTGTAAAATAAATTATTAAGGATTTTTTCCAAAATTTTTAATTTAGAAATTTTAGAGATTTTATGTGTATAAGAAATGACAAAATCTCTTGGATCAAACAAGCACCTCCTGTACAAAGTAGTTGTCTGGGAGACTGATAAAAATAAGTTTACATACAAAGGAGAAGAAGAAATATGAAAATAATAATAATAATAATAATAACTTATTGTCGCATTATTTTTGACAACTACAGTCTTGTTAAAATTCATTTATTTGATCTTGTTAATTAAAGGTGTTGTTTCACTGGTTGTGAGCGGTTGGCGTGGTTTTTGAATTGAGTGGGCGTCTCCTTTAGGTAGCTGATAAGGAGGAGGAGTAATGGAAGGAGTGGGAGGGTTTATTAACGGAGGAGACGCTGTGAAAATAAAAAAAAAGAAAACAATTTTATCAAGAATGATATTTTCCCATCTAATATGACTATGAGAGAGTTGCATCATTATCACAATTTTTACTTGATTCTTTCATTGCCTGCATTATAATACATTCTTTACCTTTAAGTTGTTTTTTCATTATTGTCATTAGAACTATGAGAGCTAATCCAATGAAAGCCACTACTGATGCACC